TAGTAGGTAAAGCAAGATGTCCAAGTCGAACATGCCATAAATCTGGTATGGTTTGCACTGAGAGCAACCCCAGATTTGAAGATGTTGTATTAGAACGGATCTTGTAGATGCCGTTGTGACAAGGTCCTTGAAGAAGAGGCCGATTGCTCGTCGCATCCTTTATTTGGTATCCAGTAGAGGAAAAAGATACAATACAATTGTTGTCAGTAGTTAACTGATGCACAGAGAGAAGGTTAAACGCAAGATTTGGAACATGAAGGAGTTTATTGAGATAGAGATTACCTGATGGGGTAGGAAGAATACCCCTACCTGTGTTGTGAACTGGTAATTGATGCCCGTTGCCAACGATAACTTGAGACGATCCAGTATACGGTTCGGTAGAACTCATCTGGGATCCATCAGCAGTGACATGAACGGAAGCTCCACTGTCCAACACCCATTCAGATTGACGAGAAGGTTCAGACGTGCTGAAGAGAGCTGTGTTGTTGGAATTATCGGTATATGTCGGATCTGTTCGATACCAACAACGAATTGCAGAATGCCCCATTTTTGAACAGATTTGGCACTTAATGTTCCGATAGGAAGATCTATCATATCGTCCATTAGACTGGACGGGGCGACGACCACGAGTACCTCGTTGATTGTTTGATCTATTCCTTCCGCGACCACGAGAAGCTGTGAGAGCATATTGTTATCGGACAACTGAACAGCTTGCAGATCGCGAGTCGCTTCTTGTAACACGAGCTGTTCTTCACTGCACAGAAGGCTATACAAATCATCCAGAGAAATTGGTTGCAGATTCATACGAATAGCCGTCTTGAATGCTTGATATGCAGAGGGAAGGCCATTAAGCGTGTACAGAATGATATCCTCAGGATCAATGGTGCTGCCGCTCATTGTAATGGTATCAACTTTTGACTTCACTTCAAGAAGATACTGTTGCATAGTCTTATCACCTTTGGTAAGATGATGCAATTCATTTTTTAGTTGAATAAGACGAGATCGAGTCGTGGATTGAAGGCGAAGTGATAGCGTTGACCAGATTTCATGACAATGAGATAAAGAAAGAACATATGGGAGAATAGCAGGAGATATGATAGAGAAAAGGGCAGCAGCAAGATTCTGATCAAGAAGAGACCAGATTTGGTGTGGAGACTGATTTTGCTCAGAAGACAGAGAATCGAGCGAATCAGAGACCGGCAGACATTGATTTGTGCCATCAAGAAACCCAAAAAATCCATTGGCGTGAAAAATTTTTTCAACTTGCGATTTCCAGATGGAGAAATTTTCAGTGGTTAACGGAGTAGGAACAAGATTTTTGATGTTATTCATAAAAAATTTTAACTGAGGAGGAATTTGGATCGGAGAACAAAGAGTTCCAAGATCGACATGAGTGGAGGAAGAGGAAGATCCAGCCATACGAACATAATAGAGAGGCGAGAAAGAGATCGAGAAAAGAAAAAAAAATTAGGCGCAAGAATGTCGCTCTGATACCATGTTAAAGCTACGGTGGCAGCTAGCCATGTAGAGAAAGAAGAAGACAAATAGTAAAATGTAATTCATTGAATTAATGGAAGAGTACAGAACAGTGCTTTAAATATTAGACCATGAACAGACATGGAGTAGAGTATTCAAGAAGCCAGAAAATGCTGCTGACGTGTCACTTAATTAGTTTTGCATTTTCTTGTTTCTTGTATATTAACAGTTGGGCATGATCTTCATAATAATTATAATGAAAATATGTTGTCAAATAATAATCAAACTTTATATTACTTCTTTGGATGACTTCATGAACATTGATGAACGAGGGAAGATGATGATATAGATCAAAAAGATTGTAGAGCAAACAAGGTTGAGCAATGACTTGCACAATCCAAAAAAACTAGCCAAGAAATACCTTGTGTCGCCTTGCATCGATCCATACGACTAATTTAGCTTCTCAATGGTTGGAAGGAGATCATGGAGTTAGTGACACAATCATTAAGAAAGACGATAGTGTTGTTCAATATTGTGTAGAGTTGTATAAGGTCAAGGAGATCATTGAAATCAAACTTCGAAAGTGTGTTAAGATGACAAATATCATTTTAGAACTCTTAGATCGGTTTGCCAAGTGGCTTAAATTATGGCATAAACCTAATTTATTAAAAAAAAATTGTTGGACTAGTTACAATCAACATGATTTTAAATATATTGTCTTTAATGAATTCACATTTGGTCCATAAGATTTTCTTAAATTTAATGATAATTTAATTAAAGAATTTTGATAATCATTACAAATTTTTAAAAATATTTGGTTCAAATCTATATATTTTAAATGAAACTTGTATGCTCAAATATCATAAACATGATTCAGGTGACTGATTTAAGACTTCAAGCAGTCAGATTCATCCTTCAAGTGGCAAACTTCACCCTTCACATGGCCAAACTCACCTTTTAGGTGGCCTACTTCACGAACTTTTATTTGGTTCGGTTGACCGGATGCAAGAAGCATCCGGTCGTAGGCAAAAAAAAGGCGGTACCGAGGTGTACCGAGTTTTTCAAAAAACTCGGTACACCTCGGTACCGAGTTTTTTTGCCTACGACCGGATGCTTCTCTGCATCCGGTCGGAGGACGGAATAATTATTACGTCCTCCGACCGGACGTAGAGGAACGTCCGGTCAGAGGCAAATTCCCGCCAAAAAATGAGTTGTACCGAGCAAATACCGAGCAATACCAAACAATAACGAAGAATACCATCATTTGAAGACCCAATACCGAGTTATACCGGGCTTTACCGAGCAAATACCGAGTTATACCAAAGTTGTACCGAGTTTTTCCAAGAAAAACTCGGTACAACTCGGTATTTCTCGGTACAGCTCGGTATAACTCGGTATTGGTCTTCAGAGAACGGTATTCCTCATTATTATCAAATAATACCTAGTTGTACCGAGCAAATATCTAATTTTTGACTCCGACCGAACGTTCCTCTACGTCCTTGCACCGGACGTAATAAAACCCTTCAAACAACATATTTGAGGTGACCAGACTCAATTAGTTTCTCAATAACCTCGTTCGATGAGCCTTGTCAATTAAGGACCAAATCTAATTGATTATTGTCCACATATATTCATCTCAAGAATTTAATCAAACACATACTCTAAGCCACAAGATTTATTCTTAAAAACATGTTACTTTGGTGTGGCTTTTCCTTTAACGCCCAAAATCCTATAAAAAAAGTTAGATAGCCATTTTATAGAAGGCGGGAAGATATACAACTCTCAATACCAAAATTTATTCAAATAAAATCAAAAAATTTTCCTCTAGATTCTTTATTTTCATTTATCATATTTCTCTCTCTCTCTCTCTCTCTTCTCCCTCATCCCTCTAGTTCACCAAAATCTCGTGAATCTTAATACATACAATTTTAATTATCATCCGTGGCCAAATCAAAATTCATAAATATGTAGAATTCCAATCAAAATTCACAATCACCAACCCAAAACATATTAAGTGATGATTTAATCCCGTATGACATGAATTTCCTTAGTACATTCTAAATAAATTTATTTACTCCATTTGATGATGAGCTTGAATAACACAAATCATAACAAATTACACTAAGGTTTCATTTAGGACAGTTTTTTTGTTGCTTTCTAAAAACAACTTTTAATACAAAAATTTCTTAAATTAAAAATGTTTGTACTAGAAACCCGTTTTAAAAAGCACCAAGAAGACTGCCCAAATAAAATCTAAATAAAAATAAATAAATAGTCAACTTATGCTTGACAATGGAATGTTGCTTTCCCCAACCATCTCATATGTTGCATGCTAAATTGCATGATTGAGTTCACATTAGAGCAACCAACCCTACACCCCCTTCTTGTCATCCTATATGTAAGTAGCCTATTTGGTAGATCAACAAAAGAAATGTTGCTTTCATGCGGCCAATGGCGAGGAAAAACGCAATGCTAGTCTATGATGAATGCTGACAAGAACATACTGAGGAAGCACATGCATGCTTGCCCTTTTACATATTAGTGATGTCCATTCACTGCCCTTCGTACAGCTCAACATTTTTCAATTCAATATTTTTTTATTATGAAATTATTATATTTAGTAGATTTTAATTATGTTTATTATTATTTTATTATCATATTGAAATATAACAAAAATTATTGATCCAAAACAACAAGTTTAATATATATATATATATATATATATATATAGCTTTAATCATTTATATTGATAGAACATTTTCTTCATATATTAATTATTGAAAAGATGATTTTTTTTTTCTTAATAAGCATTTAGGCCCTCTTAATGATCGATGAACAAATAAATAAATATTAGGGTTTATATATTTTTTTTTGATGTTTCTAATTATTAAAATTTAATTTGTATAACTACTCTAGGAAAAAATGGTGTTCTCAACCATCACCCAAACTCCGTATTAACATTGTCCTTTAAGAATTTTAGTGATTTACAAAACTCATATTGATCTATTGATTGAAAACTTTGACTACCAATTAAAAAGTCTTAAGTTCTTATCTTATGTGATGTTTGTTTAAATTTGCCTTAATTGGCTTAAATGTCCATAACAAAAGAAAAAAAAGAGTAATTTCATTATCAAAGCCTGTAACGAGATTTGGTATATATATTAACGAGGGTATCTACCCACTGCAACCTCAGCTTGTGAGATGCTTGACAACGTAAGTAATCCCTCGACTGACCTAGAAGACGCACTCACTTCCAAATAACCTCCTGACCCGCACTTATTAGAACCTCACTTAAGAGGCGCTGCCGCTCAAGGGGATTCAAACACAGGTTGGGGGTTACCCAACCGTACTCGCCCACCAACCAAGCTAAACCTCGGTGGGTATTTGAAATAATTTTAGTGAGAATTTTCTCATAGAAACCTAATATAAACTACCATCCTCAGAACCCTTTCTTACATGCAAGTATCATGTGAATTTCATCATAGAGATTACACAAATGCATTCAGCAATTTTCTCACCCATAGTAAGCCAAATATCAATCACTGGTGATAATTACAGATCCCAAAAACTGGGATTCTAGTTTGTAAAAGACCTTGTAAACATACCATTGTCCTAAAATAGTCCTATTTTCTTCCAGAAACATTTTTTGAGATTTCCATTTAATCCCCACAGTTCACCTGCACAAGATCTCTGTATATACTCATATATTTATATCTTACAGAAAAAATTAGGAAGATTACCATATCAATGTATCCCAAGTTCATTCAACTCCAGAATATTTTTGGTTTTTTTATTTTTTTGGTTCTAGAAAGCTATGCTAACTCCATATACAGGAGAGCTATCAGCATTTCAAATTGTTTCATTTCCCCTCATTTAAAGGTGAAATTATTCTATGCAGACGCCGAACGTCGTCCGGAGACTAATCAGAATGCGCCATATTGCCCCTTGATCGGTACCTAACTCAATAATGCTCGGTACCGCTGACGTGGCACATTCTAGTTGGTCTCCAGACGGTGAATTGCTTTCAGCGTCCGCACAGAATAATCTCTCCGTTTAAAGACATTGAGGATGATTTCAGCTATCAATTTAACTCATTTCAGTTAAAATTCCAAGAAACCTGCTATGCTCAGCAGTGCTCTTGAAACCAGGGGTGAAATCTGAGAAGAACCTCACAACTGCTGCTAGTTGTTGAGAGTCATTGGTAGCAAGAGCTGCTTCCAGAAACAAAGATGGACTAACGGTAATAACCTGCAAGCAAGCAATTTCACAAACTATAAATCATATGTAAGATGGAAGAAGGGAAATAATAGAAGGATATTATTATAAACTAAATGAATATGTGATGGCGGTATCCCAATTTAGGAAAAAAATATTACATGCAGGGTCCGGACACGTTCGGAGGTCAATCCGGACGCGCCACGTCACCGAATGCACAATGCATTGGATGATGTGGCGCGTCAGGATTGGCCTCCGGACGTGTGCGGACACAAATAATCTCTCCCAATTTTAACATCTCGGAATGACACTCTTACGTGAATACTATCTTTTATACTTAGAAATTATTTGTCATTTTCTTATTTGAATTACTACTTTATTTGGGTATTTAAGACAAAAAGCCCTCACAAGCAAGTTTCCATTTTCTACAGTTCAATTGCTATTAAGAACTAAGCTATTAAATGTCATTTGAAAGCACAATGCAGGAATGAATAATTAGAATTCCTACAGCTGAGAATTATAACAAGAATTCTGTTAGTATTTTAGGATTTTGTGTTGCCTTCCAATTCCTCTGATCAATTTAGAGAGCTGTGTGATCTAAGCAGAATAGCCTATTTCACCTTTTATGTGCCCCACGCCTTTTCTTCAACTTTACTTTTCTATTTTCTCACTTCACCCCAGCCTCTTTCCCTTCTCTACTGCCATCTCTAGGACCTCCAAGAGCCACTGCAAAATACTGTTAAAGCATCCACCTTTCTACTGCAATCTCCATCAAAATGACAAAGATGGCAGCAAAATAAAAGGCGCTATCAAAATAACAAATGGTGGATTCAAACAAATACTGCCTTTTAGTCTCTATTGCATTTCTGCACCCAAGAGTTGTGAGATTTGGTATGTGAGAAGAAATAATGATGAGGACATCAAAGTGCGGAGGGTTTATCACCGTAGTGGCCGGATATCTACGGCCTTGATTGAGTCTTTATATTTTTAATTTTCATGTGTTGAAAGAAATTCGTGCGGTGTTATTTATTTTATTATAATTTTATCCTCACTTGGGGAAGCTTTATGCTGTTTGTCCAATGGACTTCTTGTCTATTGTTGTTTCATGTTTTTTGTGTCTATATATATGGCCCATTGTTCTCTTGTATGGATGATAAATATTTTGATATGAATTTCTGGTTTATGCTTCCTCTTCTCTTGGTGAGTTGAGTTTGTGCATGAGTCATTTGGAGAAAGGCAAAGAAATACCCAACAATGTGTGAGCTCTTGGTTGGTATCATTCTCTCTCTAACTCTTTTTTTCTCCTTCCCTAACCACCCAAACAGCCCCCAAGCTGCAGCAAACTGCTGCCCTCAACCATCAACCACCTCCTTCCCTTTTCTCTCATCCACCTCCACCTTCTCCCCAACACCCTTACCATTGGGCTTCCCAAATTCAACAATTAATTCACATTAATTGAGCATTTATCTAATTAACTGTGACATTTGGAGATCCACAACCACTTTTACTTTTTTCCTTCCCAAGCAAGCCACATCAGCCCTCTCTCTTCCCAAGCAACCAACCCCACCTTTTCATCTCTCAAGCTGACTTTTCCTTTTCTCAAGCCAATTACTTTCCTTCCCAAGCCACATCAGCCCTCTCTCTTCTCCAAACAGCCAGCCCCACCTCTTCCCTTCCCAAGCTGAATTCTCTCTTTCCAAGCCATTAAAATCAGTCAAATCATCTCTCCCCTCCTCCCCATGTAGCCAGCCTAGTTCAATCCTCCAAACCCCAAAACTGTGAGCTCTCTACTTCCAAATCCTCTTATAGATGATACTTTCTTTTCTTTCCTCACTATTCTATCTCTCCAAAGAAACTTAGCTTCTACCAATACAACAAGGACATTGATTCAACAAAGAGCAAATGTTTCAAGGGCAAGCCAAGGAGGAACTAGCCTTGACTTCCTTAAGGACTCAATTCCTTCCATTCATGAGCTAAGTATCAAACCCTCTAATTGTCTTCATCTAACTAAATATTGGTCTCCTCATTTCATTTATAGTAGCATCATTTCATATGTGTTGATTAATCCGTCAAATTCTACTAAAATTTGAATAAAACAAAAATTCTAGTGACTAGTCCCTTAATTAAATGTTGGACTTGTGCCAACCCATGTAAGTTAGTCTAAACTGATTCACCTTTATTATTGTTTAGCCTTGGCTTATTAGTTTCTTACTATCACATGATCTAATAGTTCAAATTTTCTTATTTTTCTTAATGTTTATGAAGTTTATGTTGCTGTCTTTGCTCTTAGCTTAAATCTCAATTTGCATGATTTATTTTGCTTAGTCTTGTATCAAATAAACTTAACTAGAATATGAACTTACATACCAAAAAAGCTCCTTTATTCACGTAGCCATTCTCCACAATAGGGAAGCCCATAATAACAAGCAAGGTTCAACCAAAACGAAAAGAAATATACACATATAAGCAGTTGAATTCAATTGGCTTTATCTAGACATTAATTTGCTGAGGACGAGGCCAAAGGCAAATAACAATATGATTGTTTTTAATACAAATAGTAATCAATATCAAACAACCCAGCTACCAAAAGAAATCGCAATGAGAATTAGTTCAATAAACTAATATAGTCGTTGTCACCACCAATAGCCTTATCTCAACTACAAGGTGTCAGCTTTATCAATCCTCATTCCCCATTTGTTTTCCTCAAGTGTCCATGAGGTGTTAAAACTATTCTGCGCAAATCCTTGTACACAACTTTTGTTCATGTTCCCTTCAGTTTATCCCATGTTTTTCTTAATCCTTTAATAATTATTTTATCTACAAGTCTTATGGATGTATTCTACATCATTGTACATGTTCAAACTACATGAGCCACTTAACTCAACTAAAATTATTATTTAACCTATCCTTCCTGGACTTATTATACATCCATTTTAACACTCATTTTTGCCAAAGTCAACTTAGCTAACAATTACATTTTTTTCCAATCCTACATTCCGATCAATACATAATCAGCCTAATTATAGTTTTATTAAATTTACCTTTAAGCCTCCATTATATTTTCATATCACATAATACTCTTTAAGTGTCATTTTAACCCTTCAATATTAACTCAACATTTATATCCCCATTCTTATGTATAATAGATCTAATATATTTAAATTTATCACATCTAGGTATCATTTTATCTTATAGTAATATTAACTAATAATTATTAGTAACTAAAATTTAAAACTCTTGTTTCACTAAAGAATACTTTTAAAACTAGCCAATATTCCATCATACATATCTTTTGATGAAATTCGAAAAGCTTGCTTTTTTTAATACACATCACATCAATTTTAGTGGTAGTCAATCGTATGCTTTCCCGAGATTAATAAAATCATAAGAATATTATTTTTCTACTATTTATAAGTGTCTATTAATTGTCACATCAAAACACTCTCATAATGGACCTCCCTGGCATGAAACTAACTTGATTCTTCAATACAATATTTTTTTTTAAATCTATATTCCATTACTTTCCCAATTTCTTGCCATCTTACTCATAATTTTGTTTTCTCTGTAATCATCAAAATTTTGAACATCTCCATTGTTCTTAAATATAGATATTAAAATTATCTTCTTCAATCATTGGGCATCCTCTTAGATCCTGAATTGTAATTTTAACTAGTGGTGTGGTGTGTTGTGCTATCTTTTATCATAAAATCTTGTCACATAATGCAGGTAACTGTTTGATAAAACTATTGCTAACTTTCCCATTAGAAAATTTTATAAGAATATGGTAAGATATACAATACTTTATGGCGCATAATGTTCGCCATTAAAAGATAAGCATAAAATTAAGTGTTGTAGAGATAGAATGCTCAGGTCAATGAGTGGCTTTACACTTAGAGATAGAATGCGAAAAATGAGTATATACGTGAAAAAGTTGAATTAACTCCAATAGCAGATAAGATTAGAGAAAGTTGTCTTAAACGATTTGGTCACTCAAAATGTCGGTCTTCCAATGACCCTTTTAGGAGAGTAGGTGTATTAGACCCAACCTATGTTAAGAAAGGCAGGAATAGACCTAAAGATACTTGGTAAAAAATTATTAAAAAAATAACTTTTTATTAGATTTAAACCAGAATTTAACTCTTAATAGAACACATAAGAAAAAAAAAAGATTCATGTAACCGACCCCACATAGTGGGATAAAGGCTTGTTGTTGCTTGTTTGTTTGTTTGCTATTTGAACTATTATGATAGATAAACTTGTAAGACTAAAATAGGCATGATTAACTAACTATTTACAAATATATCATGTTTATCTTTAAAATAATTAATGGCATTCATAATTAAAATTTAGCTATCTATAAATAAATGTATTAATAAATACTAATTAAAATTATAGAATAGTTCATACAGTGATAATAAGCAAATTTTATTATGAAAAACAAAAGTATGACACCCATCCATCAAAAGCTCTTACCATGATAATTAAAATTAAAATACATAATAATTGATTTTTTTGAAATATGATAATCAAGATTTAAAAAGACGAAATCGAGAATCGAGGCGTTTTGTCTAAGAGAGGTGAAGCTTAAGCCTCAAAACCAAAAAAATAAAATAAAGTACTGAAAATTATAAACAAAATTTACAAAAATGATAAAATATTAAATAAATTATGAACATAATGATTAATCCATGAAATAATTTTGCAATAGAAATGACGGCATGGATAGCGAAACACCGACGAAAAAGACAAGCAAAACTAAAAATCCATAACAGTGTGAAATAAGGATTTGATATTTTATTTACAGTTCATAGATCTTTACCTTCGGCCGTTTGATTTTTTTGAAACTCTACTTCACACAAAATAGGCCAAGCTGACATAGAGCTTGAGGCAAACGAAGCTGACAGAGCGCACAATTCCTTCAAAACTATTTCAAACAGCAAACAAAGCAAACAAAGCCAGCATAGTGCTTGAATAGAAAGAAAGTTCGTCACCTTCACTGTGACAGGAGATCAACTCGTTCAGAACTCTACTTAACACGAAGCAAGCGAAGCCAAAGCAGAGCTCGAAATGGAAGAAAGTTCATCACCTTCGCTATGACGGAAGATCGACTCATTCAAAACTCTACTTCATACGAAGCAAGCGAAGCCGAAGCAGAGGTCGAAATGAAGAGATATGGTTACATTCGTAGTGAGCTCCTTACCGATTCGATAGGAATGTCATTGCCGAAGGATGCGGAGGGGCTTCCCTTCAAAGCTTTACTTCACACGAAACAGCCTAAGTTGAAACAATAGCTACGTCTTAAAACTTATTATTGAAACAATAGCTACGTCCTAGTGAAGCATTAGGTTTCCAAAATTTGATTTTTAGGTAAAACCAAAATTTTACTTAAATTCTATTTTTTATTAAAGAAAGGGATGTGACCAACTATGGGTTACTAAAGAAATTACCAATTATGATCTATGTTTTACTTAAAATGAAGACTCATGATTTATGTAACGAACATACTTATGTGGTTAATTAAATGTTTTAGGATATCGGTAGGTTAATTTGTATTAGTGAGCTTAATGGAAATGATTAGCTATGGCATGTGTAAGGTTAGTGTGATATAATGGTTTAAATTTACATAAGAGGCTTATATTGTAATGTTTCCCTTAAGTTTTGGAAAGAATAATTAAGGAGAGGTTGGTGAAGTAAAGGCTTTCAAAGGGCAATTGAGGTAGGAACCTCTTACCCTACATAATCATATTTCTTTATGTTTTTATTGTTCCTTTATGTTTTATATATTTAGTTGATTTGATACATGGCAAATGCATATCTTTAGTTTAGTTGATATATAGCAAATGCATAGTTGATGTTTAAAAAAAATTCTAAGCATTTCATAGAAGTTTCTTTCATGTATTTATTTCATGCTCAAGACAAATGGCTGTTATAAAGGCTACATTATATACATACGTCTCTATGGAAAGATTATGTAAATGATTGTGCATGTTGAAGGCGGGTTACCAAATATGGTGCGAAAGCACAAATATGGCTCTTATGAGCAATACAGAACAATATGGCCCTTTGGGGCAAAAGAGGAAAAGAAATGAATGGTCAAAAAGATGTTTGTATACCTGATCAGTACACTCCTGGTACTTCGGTATGGTTGTATAAAATAAATATGAGTAAGCATATGACATATATAAGCTATGACATCCATAAGACACATGGCATACATATGGCATATGACATACATAAGGCATACATAAGACATGAACTAGCATGTGTAGCAAATCAATCAAGACACTTTGCTTCTAGCATATATGTAAATTTTCATTTTAAAAGGCATGTTAAAATATTAGGGTTAGAGTTTTCCTATTGAGCATTAGCTCACTCCCTCATGTTGAGATACTTTCAGGAGAACCAGTTGTAAAGAATGGTTGACCACACTTGGTTCACCGTTCACCTATGGTCATAGAGGACCGGCTGACATGTTCTTTTTATGTTTTGCTTAGTTGTAATTTACACCTTTTTGGGTGGTTTGACATAAGTTTTATAACCACCTTTGTACATGTGAATCCTCTCTTGAAGTGATATGAAATGATAATGAAGTGGTTATATATATTCGGAAAAAATTTTAGAGGCGCTTTTAGTTTCTTTTGGAGTATTTTAGATTAATTCAATGCATGTTTTAAGAAAGGTTTATGTTCTAAACGTCCGATTCCGTTCCCGCCTCGTCTACACGAGCTCACCAGGCTGGGTCGTGACATCAACCATCCATCATTTTCTGAAGGTAACGCAGGTGACTTGAAAATATCCATAGTTGGCATGCTCTTTTAAGAACAATGTAAGGTCGGCATTTATACCAGTCACTAAAAAGCTTAGGACATTAATATATTAGAATTTATTTCTTGGCAAGACGGGTCTTGCCCGCTACTATGCTTGGATTTTTGTAACACTAATCAGGTTTTCATAGATAGCATACGTTAAATGCGTTAAAACCTCTAGCAAACTATCTTTAGTGCACTAAGCACAGTAGAATCATAAGAAGAACCAATGTAAGATTCTTCCAGGAAGAGGATACACCCTAGCTTACAAACTAAAAAGGATGTCGATATCAGTTTGCACAAAATATAAAATACACCTATTATTATATTAACCAATACGTTATTCAATCCCTTCAGATTTCATACAGGACTTAGACCGAGAATAATGATCCTGATATCCTGATAGTTCAATACGTCAATTTTTGAACTGAAAGAACCAAAACCACTGACAAGATTAAAACTGGTAGAAAAATTTTGCTTTATAATACAACTAGAACTACCGCCACACAGAAGATTAAAAACATAGTTTACCTTATTTCGTCTGGCATACCGCAGAGCTTCAAGATAGTATCCATATTGCAGTAGAAGATTCACATAATCATGATGCAGCGACAATTGTCTAAGCATATCCATCCCCAACTTCCGTAATTGTAAATTCTGGCGACCTGAATCTAATAATTGCAAAGCAACTTCTTTGGAGGGCTCCAAAACCTGCACGGCACACAAGCTAATTGGTACACATCACACATCTTAAAGAACCTGATTGCCCTAGAGCATAAAACATAGTGGCATTTAGACATAACAGAAATATTAAACGTATGATTCCTCGAGCAATACAAGTACCCAAATTCACATAACAGAATAATACTCCTAATATAACTACCGAAGAAGGATGATTTTTGCCTCGAGATTCGTGCCCGATCAAGATGATTTTGTGATGCCGTATCAAGAATAATACTCCTAATATAACTACCGAAGAAGGATGATATACCACAGATAAGATAGCCAAAATAAATAGAAATAGCTATGCTCCCTTTGCTATGCGCTGTCATATTCTACCTTTCAGTGTCATCTTTAAAGGAAAAATAAATATAAGCAAGAGAGACACGCATAGTATCTAAAGAATAACTGATAATTTTTGGGCCTAATGTAAGCCTTGCAACGGCGACAACAATAACAACAACATCAAGCCTTTATCCCACTCCGTCAACTACATGAATCATTTTTCTTTATTGTATCATGTTAAGAATCAAACTCTCATTTAAATCTAATAAAGAAATGTCATTTCTAATATTTTTCAACCAAGAATTTTCATATCTAACTCTACCTTTCTTAACATAAGCCAAATCTAATATATCTACTCTCCTAACCAGGTCATCGGAAGGCCTCCATTTGATTAGACCAAACCATCTAAGGCGACTCTCTCTAATCTTATCTTCCACTAGAGCTACTCCAACCTTTTCACATATATACTCCTTTCGTATCCTATCTCTAAGAGTAAAGCCACTCATCCACCTGAGCATCCTCATCTTTGCAACACTTAACTTAATATTATGCTTCTCTTTTAATGGCCAACATTTTGTGCCATAAAGTATTGCAAGTCTCACCACCATCTTATAGAATTTTCCCTTAAGTTTGTGGGAATTTTTTCTATCACACAACAAGTTCGATGCATTCCTCCACTTTAACCATCCAACTTGAGTTCTAATAATAATATCCTCATCTATTTCACCATCACAGTGAATAATAGACCCAAGATATCTAAAATGTGTACTCTTATTAATGACTTGATTGCTCAAAATCATAATCCCCCACTAGATCAATAACTACTAAAATTACACTCCATATATTCAGTTTTAAATCTACTCAAACTAAAACCTTTAGTAGGTTGACCTCCATAATTCAAGTTTACCTTCAACTCCCCTCTCTGGTTTTATCAACAAGAAGAATATTATAAGCAAAAAACATACAACGGGGTACAACCTCTTGCAAATGTCTAGTAAGAGCATCCATGACTAAAGCAAATAGATATGGGCTTAAGGCTAATCCTTGATGTAATCCAACTGAAAAAGATATGGGCTTAAACACTGTCATTATCACGTCCTAAGTCCTAGATGAGAAAAGTGGAAGGTTGCATTAGGTAGTCGACAGTCAGTGTAAAACTTGTCAAATAATCATAACATGAATCCTTTGAAACATTGTGTTAATGTAAGCCTTGCAACGAATGAATAAAATTTGGATTACAAAAGAGGCTAGTAACATAGAAAACATGATATTGCATACTTGACCTAAGTCTGCCGAAGTTTTATTATTATTTTTAGAAGCCAGTCCAGTGCAAGAAGGTAGACCATAAAGTTACATAGCATAAGACAATAGTACAAAAAGTAATCCGTAAATAAAATCGGACACATATAGCAAATTCTTGCAATAAACAGCATTTGTTATCTACAGAAAGCAACAGATACTAAGCAATTGCTGCATAAAAGTAATAAACTTGAGATATTTAACAAAATGTGTTTAATATTACCTTGTTTATCACCAATAATCCAACTTCAGCATAACGATTGCTGCGTACCAGTAACTGGATTGTCATAACATATAGTTTTGGATGAACCTTCATTTTTTCCTTAAATACACTGCAGTCAGAGAAGAAAATTAAATTATGTGAAGTAAAACTCATAAAATGGACTTCAGTCGCATTTTGAAGGAGGAATCCTTATTATATAGAATAATGATTACATTTAAGAAACTCATACCAGTATCTACCAGACTAAATATGTACCAAGCACGTTTACACATGATTAAGTAGCATACCTTCGCAAAAACTCAACAATAATAGCAACCAAATATGCTGGATCTCCACCCATTTCATCCTCAACAATGGCAAAGACAAAATTGTACATTTCATCTGGTGAAATTGCAGCAGTGGAAAGCTGTGCACCTTGATTACTAGAAATGCCAGATTCAATCGAACTGATTCTATTTTCAAATGCCTCAGCATGTATTGATGATTCTTCCCCTTTCACAACAGGTGTTTCAGCCCCACGTCCAGGTTGCATTAAAGTTCTAGTTTCTTTAGCACTGCTATCACCAGACAAGGACATCTCAGGGTGCTGAGTTGAATGGTTCCTTGATTCCAAGTCTGTATCAGCATCAGAACTGGAAACAGAGCAAGCTGGGACACCGGGTGCGGCAGATACTGCAGCATCATTGAAGTGTTCATTCTTTACATTTGTACATGCAGGTTGTTGACTCTTGCTCTCTGCTCTGCTTGAAGATTCCTGCTTGACAAAATTTTCATTATTCTTTGTTCCACCCACGGAGTCCACAAATAATGACCCAGGGTTTTCAGTTTGCTGGGTGGATGAATCTGGAAATGTTTCTGATGCCCTTCTATCTCCACCATGCAAAGCACTTCCTGCTTTTACTACGTGAGAGTAAGCAGCTACAAGCACATCAATTGCACTTGATATGATAGAAACAGGCCTTCTTTCAAGAATAATTGACCGCATAATTGCCAGGCATAATAACTTACTCTGAAAGAAGGAGAAAAGGTTAGTAAAAATCCTAATGAAGTGAACTCAAAGTTTAAAAAATGTTACTTACAACAGTCAACTATTAATTACTTACTTTGCTTGTATCAGACTTTCTACGTTGAAGGAATTCTAAAAGATAAGGTATGTCTGAAGAGCTGGCAGCTATAGCCTAAAAACCAATTATAAGCATGTTACTGTGCATCCTGTCCATGAAATATACATTGCCAGTATTGAGGCATTTAAACTCACCTCTAAATCCAGGTAAATCTTCCATAATAGTCCATGGTCAAGATCACAAATAAGATCTGGAACAAGAAAAGACCATTTATCTGCATATATCATTGCACCATATGACATAGCAATGTTATCCCCCACTTGCGCTGCCTGCTTTCCATTAACAGAAGCGCCTCTTAAAAGAAGGGGCAATGGAGCAGATACTGGGGCCAGGGAGTCCAAAAACAAGTCATAGATTATAACAACTTTTGAATCAACTTGATGAACAAGAAGTACATTATCTACCACACTGACAGCAATTCTGTTTGAATAAGTAGGAAGAGTTCCCTGAAATGTCATATATTTGTGTAAAGAATCAGTGAATCACATAAAAAAATTATTATAACAGAATTAATAGAATTTTTTTTCTATGCCAGTAATTTCTCAAGTGGAAGTACAAATTTTATTTCTTAGGAGTTGAAAGTTGTCTTGCTTCATGTTGCCAAAAGTACTAGCTATTGAAGCAAAAGCCTAACAGAAATGACTCGATAACAAAAATGAAATTAAGTGCAATAATGTATCTAAGTGACGTATTAATGATGGAAAAATCAGAGAAAAAAATGCGTCAATTGTTGTCATACATGAAACAAGGTAAGTTCACAGAACGTACAATAGGAGGATAAGTTAACGGAACAAACATGATGACTTCGTGCAGGTAAGGCAACAATATCATAAAGATCTATATACATGACTGAAGTAAAAGTAGCTGCAAAACAAAAACTATGCATGTTAAAGGCCCAAGAATCCATTAAAAAAATCAGGGTTTGCAGAATCCCACACATCCGCTTATCAAAAAAATTTGAAATAAAAATACAGTAAATTAAGTTACACGATAAATTTTCTGTCTGTACAAAGATTGAGAGTTTTGTATACCTGATGCACAACAGCATCACGGTAAAACCTATATAAGTTTAGTATCATCCCAGCCCTATCATGTTGCAAGCAGTAAATCCTCCCATAGCTACAAAACAAAAAAGTATACAATAGAGAAACACATACAGAAAAAATAAAGAAAATTTAGTTGTAAGTAAATAGCAAGCTAACAATGTCAAGGTAAATAATAAACCATACATGGTAGCAATATGAACATCTTCAACAGCAAGAACAGGTTTCTGGTTTGCCTCAGTTCTAACCATAGTCATCTCAAATTTGGGTAATCGGATGATTCCTCCAGATGAAAACTGAAAAGTATAATGAAAACTACAAGATATTAGGTTTATGGCTTGAAAATGAATCTTAGAAACTGGAAGATAGAGAAATGGGAGGCGTGAAACTTCTAAATACTTGGGGCAGAAGAGAAGTATGACTGGAAGATAGAAATAATTAAGCATTTTTAGCATTGAAAACATTCTAAGAAGGTACAGATAATGCATGGAAAAAAGCATTTACTATAATAGAGATTGCATAAATTGTAAATAAATTTTCCATGCATAAGCAAATTATGTGCGTACGCAAAAATATGCATGTTCCAGAATAATATGTAGATATCCCCCATAAAAAAAAAAAAAAAATGTAGATATCCCCCATGCATATTAAAGCAGAAGTACAAGACAAAACAGAAAGAAAAAGCTAGGACAAATATTGGTTAATTGGATGATTACCTTTCAAAAAGTGGATCTTGCGACCTGATTATAAAAGGAGGGGCAATTGCAAGCGGAAAAAAATAGAAATGATATGTTTTTAAAGAAAGAAAAAAAAATGAGCAAAAAAAACTTATAAAGAGCTCAAAGTCTGCCATCGTAAAAAATGCATACTTATTGCGTTGTGTCAATATTTTCCATTTAGATTTGCATTTGAGCTGCCCTTAAATCTATATTTATTTTCAATTTGAGTTTCTAGCAATGCAGTGATCAACGTACAATCACCCTCATCATTATCATAAGATATATTAGGTCAGATTGTACAATCATAAATATTGTATGATATGATAAAATATATTCATAGTTATATTTAATATAGACGTACCTACCATCAGATCCATTATCCAATATGATGGATGATGCCGGAATATATGAGGGCAAGGAAAGAAAAAAAAAAGAGCACTAAAAATCCGAAGAAGTGGGCTGAAAAGTTATTGTAATCTGCTTAAGGATGATTAATGTTGTTGCCGGTGATTGCAAGATTGCAGGGAGGGCGATGGAGTTGCTGTTGCCAGCAACGGAACACTGGAAGACACCTGTTTGATTGCAGGATGCGGCTGAAAGCGACTGGCACCTGTTTAGCAGTAAGACAGCAGAAAGATTGTTGGGCTTGTTCAACTGGAAAGTGGACTGTAGCTAAACAGCCACGGAGGCTGTACGGAGGGAGGCTGCAATTCTTGCTGCTGGAAGATAATTGGACAGCAGATCAGTGGCCTGAAAAAGGGAAGACAGTAGTTCTGAGGTCTGGGAGGGGCTGGACAACAGTCTTGCAGGGTTCTTCAAATATCTCAAGTTGAGGAAGAAGAGAACCAGCAACTGACTTGGGCAGGATATAAAAAACAAATCTAAGGAAAGATACCATTCTTCAACCATAAAAACTGAATACAAGAGAGGTAGCTATCTATTTATAGAGTAAAACTACCCAAAGGATTCCCTTGGAGGGAAATTATTAAAGAAAAATAGAAATTACAATAAAAGAAATAAGTAGCATATAACATAAGAGAGGAGGGTTTGGTTGGCTGAATCGAACTGGATAGGTATTGCCCGGTGTCATTCTCCCCATCTAGGAGAGGCTTCAACATAATCTGTAGCAAATGAAACTTTGTAATGAGCTCATCTGTTGAGGATGTGCTAGAAGCGGTACAAATTGGGACGTCTTGTTTCTGCCAAAATGTCCTACTGATTCCTTGCAGGTACACAAGAACAGGGACTGCAGCACCACTTCAGGGTTGTGATTTATAGGTTTGGCCAGCTCTTTGGAAGGTAGGAGTACCACCAATTGATCTTCTTTGTGGAAGAAGTAGATATTGTTGAATCCATTGTGCTTAGCCCGCGGTCATATTTCCAAGATCATTCGAGAAGAAGATGATAAGTATCCATAAAAATAACATCACACAGAACTTGTTCCCCCAATGAAAACTTGAACAAGACAGTTTTCTTACATTGATTTCGTTAACTTTCTTGAGCCATGAAAGCTGATACGGCTTGGATGCAAACTTGGATGCGAACTGATAACATGATTCAAATTCTTCACCATAGGGGTGGATACTACATGTTCACAAAATCCGCCATCGATGATAAGGGTTTATTTGTTTTAACTTTAAGCATTTTTTAATTAAGTTTGTTTTTATTTTATAGGTTTTATTGACAAGTCTTGGATGAAAAAAGTGCATTTGCATCGCATATTTGCACATTCTTCAATATATTGGAACTTTACTTGCATGTGCTCCAAAAGCATACATACCGTTTAAAAGTAAAGTTCATGTTACTTGCATGTGCTCCAACGAATGCACTAAATGCCTGAACAAAACGCCTGAGAATAATGCACGAGTCAAGAATAAATTGAATTAAGTCCATCTTGAAAGGCATGCAATCGATCTATAAAATTTACAATCATTTTAAAAATCACAAAACCTTTTTAAATTCAAATTTACCATCATGTGCCTTGACCATACATCAAGCTCCTAAATTTAAGGTGCGTAAATCACACAAGTTTGAATAAAAACTCAAATCGTACCTGATTCTCAACAAGCAAGTTGGCATAGTTGACGAGAGCAAAAAATAATAAAACAAAATATTCAATGCCACCCCAACGATGGCTATAATGAAGACAGAACTCAATCAGAGAGGTCCATCTTCAAAAATCAAATTTTTTATGTTGCAAATATATATACTTCAACATCACTATGATAATAGCAATGTTGAAAGTTAATCTCAATCAAATGAGACTCTATCTATAAAAATTCCCCCAAATCTCAACAAAATTATTGTGGGATTTAAATTTCTACAAAAAATATAAAAACTAATAAGAAAATAATATTCAAATGAAATCTATCATCCACCAAACGTCAAGTAAAATCCATTCACCCTCTACAACCATTCATCGATGGTGATAAATTTGAGAATAACCTCAACTCTTAAAGAGTCAGTACCTTGTCGGGCATATATCACTAGTATAGACATGACAAGTATTCTCTAACTGGTGGTTTTACTACCAAATGACATAACAATTAAATGGTAATGATCGGGTGGTTTTGTCGCAAAATGACATCATTAATTACAGTCACATCTAGAGCCAATAAGTTCTTCAAAGGCTGAAACATTGAGTATTGAATCATGGGATATCCATGATAGTAGGGCACAAAAGACATTGTTATCTACTCTAGGTCTACAAGATTCCATTGGACGAAGTAACTCATAACTAATGAGAATTATCATTAGGTCAAGTTGGGTTGAGTACCTCATCTAACAAAAAAAATTAGAGATCATGAAAACCTAAGACGAGGGGATCGTGTTCGTCGTCAGTCCTCTCATCATCCCCTTTAAGTGTAGGATGGAAAATTTCAAATCTCAAAATCAAATTTGCCGCTACTATATATTGAAAGCTCTCTCCCATTACTGAGAAGTGATAAGGATAATAATCATAGAGGCTTGCGCTTATAAGAAACCTGGAACCACATTTTAGGCATGTTTGGATGCAGACATGATTTAACTTAAATAAGATTTAGTAAATCATGGAAATCCGAATTTATTAAATCTTCAAAATGTAAAATCCTAAAAACATAGCGCGATAAAATTTAAATAAGATTAAATCTAAATGAACTATTTGGACACTTATTACAGGATTTAAAGTTTGTTAGCTCAAATAAGATTAAAATAATAATAATTGATGATGAATTTAAGGCTATTTGGCAACACGACTCGGGATTTAAGGCAATTAATTCACTAAAAATATAATTATAATTTTAACTAGTCTTGATTATACTTTTACTTATTTATGAGTTCATTATTAATTTTAATATTAATTGCCATCAATTGCTAATAATTATAAATAATATAAATAGAATCTATTTTAATTATCAATTAAAATATTTAATTATTTATTTACTAAATACACTATACTCTCAATTAGATTAAAAAATCATATTTACTATAATAATTATATTATATTTCTAATTAGATTAATTAAATCATATTTGTAAATTTGAATTTATTAAATTTTGAGGTAGTTAAGTTCTAAAAATTATTTAAAATAATAGAGATTAAAAATTATTTTTATTTAATTTATATGATTAAATGTTAGTAATTCTAATCTAAAATTTTTTATCAATTATAATTAGATTAATTAAATTATAGTTATTATACTCTCAATTAACTATTCATTAATTAAATATTAAATTAATAAATATTTTAAAAAATTATTTAACCTCTCTCGTCTAGGGTTTGTATTCGTCGTTGCCATTTCTTCATTGTTGCTTCCGCTTCTAGTGCTTCGCATGAACTAGATTTTTGATAGAGTCGCTAAAGAAAGCTTCTTCACCTCTTTTGATGACAACGTTATTTCAGTCAGATTGGAAGTTATGATGGAGGTAACGATCTTTCACCTCTTTCGTGCGCTTCTTCGTTCAAATCCTGTAAATCCGCCGAACAATCGGATTTAGTAAATTGGCGATGAGATTTAATTTTGTGTTTTTTGGCATTTGATATGATTACTTAAATTAAGTGTAAATACAACATAAATTCGGCATCCAAATAGGCCCTATAAATTCCTCACAAAATGATGGCAAAATTTATATGTAGTGTCTTATTTTATAAGTCTAATATGCCTTAAGAAAATTTGACTCAAAATACATTTCATAAGAGGCCGGGACAGAATTTCGGAGCACATAATACCTTAAAGTAAGGTAGAGTCAAGCACATGGATAATAAGATAAACGAGACGGCAACATGCAGAAAATGCTATAGTTCCCATTATCAGGGCTGTCAAGACAGGATATCTTTAGCAAGGGATTGTAACTTGAGTTGAATTTTGGAATCAGAAGAGGAAGCAAAATCTGAATAACTTGCGGTAGTAAACCAAACCTTCCCAAGATAATAAAAAAATCAGATAACACATCTCATTTTATGAGAGAATGTAAGAAGAAATCAAATTTAAAAAAAAAAATAAAGAAGGGACAAAGAAAGCCCAATATTGCATTAGGATATTAAGGATATCAAATTTTCTAAAATTCTAAATCAACTGAAGGATTCACGGGCCCCTTATCAGCATCAATCCCAAGACTACCTCTGAGCATGACAGCAACGGCACAAACTCAAATCAACACAACAGGTTAAATTAAACAAAAATACATTGCAACATAAAGTTTAATAAAGAGACTCCCAAATATCCTTCATAAAAAAAAATATCTCATAATCGGGTGGGAAAAAATCATAGGGCTTACGCCTATAGGTAGCCTTTAACTAAAAACATTCTTTATCTGAGGGTAAATTTTCTATGTAGTGATTTATAAACTAGTTAATTTGTGTCAAAAAAACATTAAAATACACACATAATCTGAAGTCAGGTGAGCTCTTTAGAGTCCACAACAAGTAGATGAAATTTACAAAGAGTTCAATATTCTATGTCCATTGTCACTGCAACTCATTTACTCAAGTTTTATTAGATAAAATAAAGCAAAAAAACAATAATGCATAGCAACGGTATTCATGGTCATTGTACTTTAGCATAAATGGCTATTTCTACTTTAAAATGAATACCTGGAATCCATAGAAAGTTGTGCATTGCATTCCAGAGGCTAGAAGAACCATCCGACTTTCATGTGTGTAGACATACCAGCTCACATTGAAACGTTTTGCTTCCACTAATCGGAGGGTATTCAACTCAGCATCATACAAAAGAGATTCTATACCACTGAAAAACACCTCAATAATGATGAATGACAAAAGCGATTGGAAGAGCCCAAGGAACATTTTTCCAGTTGAAATTAGAAAAATAAAATAACTTGTTTTGGGTCCAATGGAATGCATGATAGAGGAAAATGAAAAACCATAAAAAAGGGCTCTTATTAGCCTCCAAAAATTTCAGGTATGCATGATAAACATTAATAAGAATTAAAAAAAATCTTCCAGAAGAATAAGGTAATATAACACATCTTTTGAAGCATTGAACCAGACGCTCATGACAAAAGACAACTAGAAATAGAGCTTTTGAAAGGTAGGTCTATCAAATTTGTGTCATCAAATAGTAATAATATATAAGTCATGAATGTTAAATATAAGTTTTGTCAATTTTTTTTTTTCTTATGTTCCACTGGCTTTTGTGAAGCATGGACAGTTCTACTCTCGGTAAAAGACAACTAGAAAAAGAGATTCTGAAAGTTACCTCTACCTAAATGTGTGTTGTCATATAGTAATAACATAGAGTCGAGCATGTTAAATATGAGTTTTGTCAGTATTTTTTTTTTTTCTTATGTTCCACTTGCTTATATGAAGGATTTATAGTTCTACGAATGGTTGTTTGTCCCCTGCATGTACCAACTCCTTGAGCAATCTCAAATTGATGACGGACAACTTAATGTTTCCAATATTTTTTATAGTGTTATTCTGGATGAAAATTTATTGCATTTCTTTAACTTCAAATTAAACAATAAAGCAATAAATATTGTAAGTTCTCACTCGATATCGTTTGTTAATTTGCTAAAATGTGGCACGTTTCTTGTGGACCTATTCTGGGCAAATGTTTGCTTCATTTAACAAATATGTGCAGCACCAACTAGATTTTACATGACTGCCAAACATTTCCCTTCATCATGTTTTTTATCCACAAGGTAGATTTATCTTGCAAAGTCTTACAAAGCACTAGAAAAAATAGAAATGCTACATTATTTGAGTTCTACACCAAAAGTTGGTTTAGTTTCTCCTTATTGTATATAGATTTCCTTTTGTATTTAAAGTGAACACAGTAAGCAGAAAGGCTTTTTCCTTCTTCCTAGAGCGTTGAGCATCACTAGAGTTCGCAGCAACACTTAACAGCAGAGCAGCGACCAACAATAGTAGCAGCTGCAACGACTCCAATATAAGCAAACAAAGAGGCTACCAGCAGCTAGGATCGCCCAGAATTGCAACTCCTGATATAGGAAAACAGAGGAGAACTTCAATTATTGGAAAAAGCATCAGTACCCAGGATGGAAGCCTAAATGGGTTAAGTAATTTCGCAATGAAAACAGGAATATAAATAGAAAAGGGAAAAGGAAGTTTCTTATTGCTATCCTAATATAATTTAGAGTGTGTAAATAATTAATTATGACAAAGAAAAATTTAATGCATACCTAAACAAACTCCAGCAAAAGAGGAAATCATATCCCTAATAACAACCTAGATAAGATCAAAGTTAACAGGTTATTCCAGCATGAATTATCCAAATAATAGATTACAAATTCAAAAACAAGTATATCCAAACAAGCTTAAACAAGCTTAAAAATTTTAACTCATCATTATCTACATCATTCTGTGATGTAATCTGAATTTTGATCGAACAAACCAACTTCCAAGAAAATATCCCAGGTAATGTCTGATTGACAATTTGGCCACACCTATAGTCTACTTACAACAACCTCTTTGATATTGAAGGTGTAATCTAAGAATCAACAATGCTAGCAATTTTCTTGGAGAAATCAGACATTAAAACTACAACAAGCACGAACTTTTCACAAACTTTTTAATCTTTTCACAACCTAATAATCAAATTGTGATCACAGACAATCTAATTGATCACCTACCATATCTTATCGTTAGATTATAGGTCCCCCATTTTGGAAGATTTCACACTTATGAAATTAAAGTTCAAAGCAGCCTGTCCAACTCCCTTGGCCTATCAATTGGCTTTGCTTAGCATCTAGCGTTTCTTGTAAATGCAAAATATCTCTTTTGGTTCATGTCCAATGGTGGTAGTTTTTTGCTTCAAGTGCTTCAAGAGTATGCCCAAATCCTCAGTTAATTCATGCTCTGAGAGTAGAACATCCATAGCAAATAGAATTTCTTCAAACTCGCCAATAAGCAAGGAAGGTTCAAACTTCAATTTATCCACATTTACAACCAAATATATCTCTATGTATAGCAATAGTTCCAACTAGCAAACTTTATCTCCAATCCTAGAAATTTAAAAAGCACTTCTTGATTAGCTTCAATTTCTTTCCTTCTCCCTTGAGGCGATCCTTGATTTAATGTAAAAAGACAAATCTCAAACATGGAAGTTGACTTTGATACTATGACAATCATGCCTTTATTAGAATTTATATTGGGGCATTTGCAGATTGCTCTCCATTAATTTATTAATTTTACGAATGCCCTAAAAAATCACTAAGCTCATTTTTTTCAACTTCAACCCCACCATGAACAGCAGGAGAGGTAAAGAACAAAGCAGCTTTGTGGCGGTCTTTTGGGATTCTTATTATTGTTCTCCTTTATTAAGTGAACCATGATTCTACTCATGGCCTCCATTTGTTAATCAATTTTAGAATAAAATTCAATGCTCCTCTTCAATCTGATACATATCATAACCCACGAGATCTCCAAGAATCCGCTCAGTAACTAATTATCTCAATCAGATGCAACGAAACTAGGTAGTCCAAAGTGTGCATGCATGTTAAAAGAAGATTCCAGCTAACTTCTCGCCCATGATTATTTGCCTTTAAGAAATGAATACAATCATTCTTTAAAATCTATCCATGATTACATAGTAGTCATGGCATCTCTTAGTTTTTGTAAACCTCTCAGAAAATTTACAGCAATGTTTTCTATTGACGGCTTGGTACAGGAAATGGTGTGTATAATCCCAACTTCTTGTGTGCAGGTTTGGAGGTAATATAAAGTATGCATCATCCGAGGTACTTACATCTTGTTGCATGTTTCTTTTAATTAATCACCATATTGAATTGTACGAGATAAGTCATCCACTTCATTTGTCGAGCTTGTTGCAGCTTCATCTTATTCTACAAATACTAAAATGGTATATAGTAAGTGACATGTACGTAACACAGTCCTCTTCCCAAGAAGGTAAGTATGTTAATGTTTTACTACTTAATGCAATAACAACATCTCTTTGGTGTACATGGGATGGCTCTTCCAAGCTCTTAGAAAATCTCAGAGTGACCAACGGATTTATCATCCTGCATTAGTATCCTACATTGCATGACCACTAGAACCTACCTCCAATCCGAATGATTGTTCTAAATTTGGCAAGCCTGACATAGAGGCCTAAATTATTTTTTTCTTCACAAAAGAAACTTATCCTCTTACTTTTGGCTCCATTGAAATTTGGCATTAACCCAAATCAAAGCATGTAAAGAAGAGGTAAGTAAAGAAAGGTAAAGGATGAACTTACGGACATATTGGCATGCTCCATCAAACTTCTTATGTCAATCACTATCTGCAATATGGGTCACTCCGTTATTATTTTCACCAACAGGATCAATCTTGATCTCTCCATTGCCCACCCCAAATCCAAGATTGAGGGATTTATTGGTGTTCGCACTTCTTTCAATTGAGATGGAGCTTATGTTGTCGTAGTAGATGGCGAACCTTCCTCAAACGCTCCAAGTGCTCTTCCCATGATCAGCTGAAGAATAAAATATCGCCTAGATAGACAATAATGAGGTCATACAAGTATGGTCACTTAACATCATTCATCAGTCTCATGAAAGTGTTTGGGGCCTTGCAAATTCTGAATGGTATGACCAGCCACTTGTAGCCTAGTTTCAAAAGCAATATTCCATATATCCATCTCATTGATGTGCACTAGATGCTAACTAAATTAAGATCCAACTTCATGATGATTGTTGCAGACTTCAATCGCTATAGCAAGTCGTCAATGTGAGACAGTGGGTCATTCTAAAAATAATTCCGAGATCATTATTCCTGAAGAAAACTTTTGCAAGATTGTACAAATTAATAGCATGATCAAGTTTTTCGGCACCCAGTATTTTTTTTTCCTAAAATTGCCTACTGGTTTCATACTTTCTTAAAAAAATAGTAAAATGCATGAACTCTATAATCGACTGACACAAAACATAATAGGGACTCATAAGACAAGTATATGGAGTTCTCATCCTTAAATGATAATACGCATGCAGTTCAATGAGCAATTGAGCATGCGTCAACCTATTGATCTTATTTAATCACAACGATTCACATAAAAATAATGATATGACATGTAATAACTCTTTTAATAGAAAAAGAAAGAACATGGAGTGTGTGTTTGATGTCATGAGGGGTTAATGTAGGAAGAATGGCAGTGAAGGGACCAAAACAAGCTGCAATGTTGGTTAGGCTAGTGAGTAAAATCTTGCCATAAGGGAAACTGCATAGTCAACCATTTTAGATGTGGGCCAATGTAACCTGGATGGTGAAATAAATTTTTAAGGCAATGGTGATGTCAATAAAAGCAAAATTTCTATATATGAGGATAAAGTGGAGATAAATCTTCCTTCATGAGAAAACAACAGCAACAAATAAATATTGGGGATAGTAACACAGTTATATGTCAGTAGCAATAAGATGTTCGCAAACTAAAATGAAAAATCTCATCTTAAAATTAAAGATACCCACAAAACATGCTTAAAAATGAGAAAACCTTCTGAATTATTCACATCTTATGTTATGCCTTTTTTAACAAATCAGAATATAGAAAACATACCTCGTCTTTATGAATATGATGTCACAAGATGGGCAGTCTGTCCAGAAAAAACCAAGTATACTTTCAGAACCTGACTTGCACCTCCAGCTGAAGGATTTGCCAGTTTCTTTATTTTTAAACTGAATCTCTTGATTTGACCGTTGAATGCATATAACTTTTTTGTCGAGAGAGTACCGAATAGACAGCACAGGTCCCTCGCTTATTGAATCAGAATTGGGTGGATCATACTGGTCACATTGAGCAGTTTTCCATGACAATACCTGCCAAAGCAAACCTTCATTAAATCACCAAGTTCAGCCCAGCTGGACTTATACAATGAACAGAACAATGATACATTAGTCAATGCTACCTGATCTGATGTTGGCGAAAGAAGTAGCTTATTACCATCATCATAAAAAAGTCCATGTGTCTCAGGGATGTTGCATCTCAAAGGTGGGTGCTGGATATAAACATGAGATAGAGCCCCTGAACCACATAAAACTGCACTGGATGGATCTCTAGATGAACTTCCAAACATGATTGTCGCACGTTAATGGATTTCTGCAGAAGTACTCAGTGTGGATGCCGTTTCAGCAAAGGAAATGCAAACAAAAAAATTTACAACTATGAATAAAAGTTCTCCAGGGTAGAATAAGAGACCAAAAACAGAGGATTTCCTGCGAAAATGACGCAGAACATAACATACGATTTGATATCCAGGAAATATTCCAATAGAAATGCACAGCAAATCTAAGATTTTCGTAGCTAACCTTAAGCCTTCTTTTTAATCTGGAAACAGAATATTCAAAAAGTTAATCATCAGTGAATGCAAGAAACTGCATAATAACAATGTCTGATAGAATACATTAAATTTTTTAATTTGCCAGCATGAACCAAGTCAGTATATACCATGTTCTGTATGCATGCTTTAAGTGCCTGAAATTCTTTTGAGCACATGCCCTGTTCGATCTCGGGAACCTTTCCAGCAATGCATCTCCCGTATTCTTTGGCCTTAAATATAACCAAATATTTTGCATTGAGTTCATAGATTGCGTTAACTCATTCTATCTTCTTGTGCTAGAATAGGCCCGTAAAAGCAAAACGAGCAAATCAACGTGTTCAATTAATCCAGTTAACTACAAAAATCAAACAATGAACTCCACCCTAGCCAGAAACTACTTACAACGGTTCAAATACCAAAGAATACTGAAACACACCTGAGAAGAACAATTCAGCAATACATGATTAAGCACAGAAGGGTTCTTCCTTTGTTTCATTTAACTGGTTGCTGCAAAAACACGAACGCCACAAAAAATAACCCTTGAGAAAATTTCAGAAGTAAGAAAATGCGGATAAAAGTTTTAAAACGATGGAAAACGCAAATTAAATTGGTGTATCCACTGTGGCAGACGAATCATTATGAAGGGAATCCCACATGGAACCAAACCTCATGGGACGCAACACAAATTAGTTTGCTGCTGCGGAGATAAAACTAGGGTTCGTTCCAACCATGCCTAGGAGCCTGTTTTCCTATTTGAGGGACGATAAAGGAAAAGGAGAGTGTACTAAGAACGAAGATGACAGTGAAGTGAAGAGGGGAAAGGGGTTTTTGGATCGGAGAACTCGCCTCCAGGTCGTATCGGAAAACGCCGGCCTCCTCGATCGCCGGCCACCCCTTCGCTGCTTCCTCTGAGAACAGCAAAGCTTCACCCGCCGATGTAAACCGGGAGCCTTTTGTCTTCTAACAATTAACCGCGTCTTGCAATTACCTCGTTAACGTGAACCTAATTTTTCATTCTTGATGCATTCTTTGGACTTTTTTTTTATATTATTTGGATAAATATGAAATATCCTTCAAATTGTATTTTGGATAAAAATAATTCATAATTTAAATTTGAGAGATAAGAATATTATAATTGATACATCTTCAAAAAATTATCTTGATCGGGCACGAATCTTGATGCAAAATAGAGTCGGAAACTTCAAAAATTAAATCTGGGAGCTCTTGAACTCCGATTTCAGTGAACTTATAGTCAAACTGAGCGTCTCGAAAATACGAACCCAACGACACCAAATTCAACTCGATCCGAGCCCAAATGAGTCTAAATCGAAGACTCAAAGTGCTGTTGGAAGGTTCGAATCACAATTTGAGTTACCAAACGGTCTTCAATTTTAACGAGCTTATACTCGAATTGAACGGCTCGACGAGACAAATCCAGCGAGCCCAAGATCACCGAATTCCGAAATCACTAAGGCCTCCAAATGCCTGGCGAACGGTCCATGATCAAGGGGTTCAATATCGGCCGTCCATCTAACCACTCCCCATTTACCCTTGATCTCTCACCTATTTGGCTATTTACGGGGCATGACACTCCAGAAAATCTATAAATAGACCCCTCATTTCTCTTGAAAGAGGACTCAAGCAAGAAGAGAATGAATAAGCTCCTACTCGACCACCGCCAGACCACCGCCGGAGCCTCGTCGGACCACCACCTAAGGCCCTCACCCTCGCCGGACCACCGCCGGAGCTGTGACGCCCCAGGCATCCATAGTGAAAGGATTCGTCTGACATTCTGATCGAACTCCATTCCAGTTGCCTTGCTCGGACCTGAAATTTTAAACCACATATAATGAGCTTTACAAAGCCCAGCAGGTCACCAAAGCCTACAACTGAAATCAAAGCACGGCGATGCTATCAATATGCATGTCAGTCAATCAAATCCATAACAGTCAATGGTCA